CCATCTCTAATGTATGAAAGGCTCTCCAATATATGAAAGGCTACGACCATCTCCAACGTGTAAACGGCTAAGGCCACCGCCGTCAATAAGTCGACCCCCTTATTCGAGTTTTTTTTTAAATCACAATCGATGAAGTACGCTCATCGAGCTCGGCCGAAACACGACCTCAATAAGCGGAGGGACTAACTGTATGGGTCAGAATCCGATCTCACGGTAATTAACGGAGTTAATCTCGTCTTGAGCTAATCCATAATTAATAAGTGGTATGGCCACTTATTCATAACAGGATTCGACTCTTGTCCGATTTAATCTACGAGGGCACGGCCCATTCATTCCCCCATGGGGACGGAACCTCAGCGTGGTCACGGCCATTTATTGCCAGCTCACGAAGCTCACATCTATAAATACTAAGAGCGGAAGCCCTAGAAAGGGGGCTGCTTCTTCACCACTATTCACAAAAGAGAGAGAGAAGAGAAAAATATACACATCTTATGGGAAGAGAAAACACCATTGTAAGGCTCTGAACCTCTTCATGGAGAGGCAGACCAAACCAATATTGTCAATAAAAGCTGTTAAGATTTCTTCTCCTAACCTTGAGTACTTATTTTCATGTTCTTCGCTTGGTCCAATGGATTATTACGATTTGCTATGATTTTTCCGTAACTTATTTGTATTATTTTGCACTCATAAAGCACACGATAACTTTTGAGCAAACAAGTTACATGTGTGAGAAAGTGTTAGAGAATATACTTGTTCCTCATCGAATATTTCAGGTTACTAACAAGGAATATTATGATGGTGCCAGCAACTTCATTCATTGATTATGTGTTTTGAATTAAATATTCAGATTCTTTCACACAAAATACTCATTATTTTTATAATAATACTCACGTATTTATTTTTAAAAAATAAAAAAATATACCTCTATTTTTATACTCCGAGTTGAGCCCCTCATTACCATGGTAGGACTAAAAAGAAAAGGGTATTTTCTTCTTTCGAAAATGATTGTCTTGATATTATGTATCTAAAACAAATCAAATTATGTAGTATGTACTAAACTTAAATAATGTATAATATTACTAATATCTTTTTTTTATTTAATTAATTATCAAAAGAATTCACTCCTAACAGACACGTAAGTCTAATAAAACGAATCAACACTAGGGGAATAGCCATGTTACTTGCTTATTATATTGTACGATATTAAAAAATTCTTATTGCCGACGCAATCATATATCATACTCCATGTATCAAGATGATGCTGACTACTTAATATTTGATTTAAGAGATAATACATAAATTACCCATTAAACTTGTCCGGAAAAATTATTTACACACCTGCGACCTATGTCCCCCCTATTCTTATTTGGGGTGTTAAGACCACCCTAAATGGTGACGTGGCAAAGAGAGTAGCTTCACTCTCCCAATCTCGCGTGTAAGAGGGAAAATTTTTTACTGTGTGGGTCCCTTTTTCGTTTACTTCTTTTTTTCNCACACACAAATACCCAATGTCTTCAGGACTCTATTTTCTTCAAGAATTTAATTATTCTTCTAAAAATTCACACAAACACAAAGGAACTAATGTGTTGCATTACTTTTTTACGCAAAAATAACATTAAAATTTGTGCTCCATAACTAAAAAAAAAATACTTTTTTTTGTTAAAAAAGAAAGTACTCTTTCTACAACATAAAAATAAATAGATGCCCTGAGAAGAAATTTCTTATGGGAAGCCAGCAGTGATAAAAAGAAAATCCATTTGGTCAGATGGAACTCCCTTACAGTTAACAAGGAGGCAGGGGGGTTAGGAATCAAGAATTTAAGAGTACAGAATCAAAGTTTGATATGAAATGGTTATGGAGATTTGCCTCAGAAGAACAATCCTTATGGAAGGAGGTAGTTAGAGAAAAATATGGTATGGAAGGAAAATGGACAACAAAGCCCGGGAGAAATCCCTATGGGGTCAGCCTCTGGAAGTCTATCAGGAACTTTTGGCCTAAACTAATAAACAAGTCAAATTTCAGAGTGGGAAATGGTATGAAAATATCTTTCTGGGAAGACAATTGGTTAGGTCAAGGATCATTGAAACATCTTTTCTCAGACATCTACACACTGAACCAGCAGAAAGAAGCTACAGTAGGTGAGGTTTGGACAGACCAAGGTTGGAACTTGACCTTTAGAAGACTAATAAATGATTGGGAGATTGACAGATTTATAGAGTTTTACAAAAAAACTGGAGTAATTCAAAGGAACATCTACCTCTGAAGACTGTATGACATGGCAACAGAATGGGACACAAAAGTTCTCAGTTAAAGCAGCCTACAAGGAATTCAACACTTTAAATAATCATAGGATGTTGGCCATGTAAGTTGATTTGGAAAGTTAAAATCCCCTATAAAGTTGCTTATTTTTCATGGCTAGTGGCTAAAAAGGCTGTTCTAACTTAGGATAATTTGATCAAGAGAGGTTACCAACTATGCTCTAGATGTTACTTATGTGGGGAGGAGGCAGAATCAATCATCTCTTTTTGCACTGCAGAGTCACCTTACAACTATGGAGAATATTCATCAGCTTAAGGGGAATCTTGTGGGTAATGCCGAGAAGAATATCTGAAGTTCTAGCTTGCGAACAAAGAAGGAAACCACTCCAATAATAAAGAGAGATGGAGAATTATCCCAGCTTGCATTTGGTGGACAATATGGGAAGAAAAAAATCAAAAATGCTTTGAAGATAAGTCAGGAATATTCAGAAGATCAAAATGAAATGTATAGTTCTTTTATATTTTTGGTGTAAAGGAGAGTACTTAGAAGACCATGAATCAATTTTTGATATTTTAGAATCCTTGTGAGATGACAAAGGATTGGAGAGTTTTCTCCCGCGACCCACCTTATAATTATGGGGGACTTCACAAGTTTTGTGTAGTCTACTTTATTTATATAGAAATGTGTTACCTTATTAAAACAAATACTTATTTTGTTGAAATGAAAGAAAATACTTTTTATACATCATAAAAAGAAAATACTCATATTATTGAACTGAAAGAAAATACTTTTTCTACATCATGATTTTTTTTTTTTGAAATGAAAGAAACATTTTCTTTACAGCATGAAAAAAAACTTTTTTGGTTGAAATGAAGAAAATACTTTTTACTACATTATTTTGTTGAAAGGAATAAAATATTTTTTTTTACATCATGAAAAGAAGGCACTTTTTTGTTAAAATAAAATAAACTTTTTTTATATCATGAAAAGAAAAATACTCATTTGTTGAAATAAAAAAAAAAGTATTCTATCTATAACATGAAAAGAAAGTACCATTAATAATATTTCTATTTAGGGTGTGGGTTGGGGGAGGGGGTGGGAGTTGGGGCAAGGGTGGGGTGGATGGGTGGTAGGGTGGGGGTGGGTTGGTAGGGAGTGGGGGTGGAGGAGTAGGTTAGTGGGGATGGGAAATAGGGTGGAGAAGGTTAAAAAAGAATTTTGGAAAATGAGTTCATGAGGAAAATATTTTCTAAAATATTTAAGCCAATCAAAATGAGAAAATTATAAAATATTTTTCGAAAAATAATTTCATTCGTACCAAACACACCCAACGAGTCTTTATTCTTCCAAACATTTTATTTTAGGAATGCCCAAA